GCGGCCTTCGGCTGGGGTGGGGGTGGGGGCCCTTCAGGGTTCGTGTGTGTCAGGGAAGGATTGGCCCACGCTCCCACCTGGTGGGACGTAGTGCACGCTCCCGGGTTAGAGGAGACACCGAGGTCCAGGGAGCTTAGGCCACCTTCGTGGGGTTCCACATTTGCCGGTGCTGGTGAAACCAAATCGTCTGAATCCCAGGCTAGTAATCCTTTTAACTTGGAATTCAAGTTTGGGCTTTAGGAGTATTTTAAACGCCCTGGAAATTTACTCACAACACTTTGAAAAAAGAAATTGTGTATTTTGGGGGAATAGCCCCGTACCTTTCGTGAGTTAATCAGAAGTTAGGGATAACTGCCCTCCAGTGAGCTGTCTAGAGAAGTTCAGCTGTGGACGTAGTTTTATTTTCTGGAAAACCACATGTAAACCCTCTGGGCCTCAGAGGCTTTACCGTCATGGAATGGGGGAAATGGAGAAATCGTGAAGGGAAAGCTTTCAGGTAGAGGAACGGGACACTTGAATATCGGTAGGTGACATAGTAGGTCAGACCGCCTGATGTTTTCGAGGAACTACGGTAGTATTAGAGTGAAGAAAAGTGGAGGAAGAGAGATGAAAAATAGGTCGGCGAGGGTCCTGATTATGAAAGGTTTTGATTTTTCATAGACCTCCGAAGGAGCTATGAAATGCTATTGAAGGGATTAAGCCGGAGAGTGACATGATCGGTGAATCTATTGGATTGTAATCTTTTCTTTATATTTATTTGACAGATTAATGAGGTTAATTATGATTAGTCTATCAGATTCAATACATGAGTGCCTACAACACACTGATGATCATCAGGCAATACTGGATTTTTAACTCTTTAAGAGTTAATAGTAAGAGCCAGCATCTACCGACCACTTGCTATGTGGCAGGCTCTGTTTAAGCCTAATATGCATTGTTACTGATTTTCTGAAATAAGCACTATTTTCACCCCATTTTGCCAATGAAAGACTTTGGAGGCCCAGAGAGGTTACATGATTAATCCAGTGTCAGAAAGCTGTTAAGTAGCTGATCTGGATTTTGGACTCTGCCAGTCTGATTTTAGTCTTCATCCTTAAGATGAAAAGACTGCCTTTTCAAAGACCTGAAGGAATAAGCTTAGAGGATTTGTAAATCTTGCCTGACTTCGCACAGCTGTGAAGGGACCAGAACCACAGTTCCAGGCTTCTGATTCAGGAATAAAAATTCCTCTTCCTGACCCCCTGTGTCCAATCCACCATCACATCTTTCGGCTCCTGCCTAGTAAACCCATTCAAGTCTGAAGCTTCATTTCTGCTATTGTCCAGTCTGGAACCACTGTCCTGTCCTACTTCCTAGGCTGCCAACTTGTCTCACTCCAACCTGTTCTCTGCTCTGTAGCCAGAGCAATTAGTTTAAATGATCATATTGCTTCCTTGGTTAAAATTCTTCAATCTCTGCCCTGTTCTCTTAGGGCAAAATCTAACGTCTTGACCATGTTTATAAGGCTGTCCTCAGTCGGGTCACTATTTACTTCTCCAGCCTCTTTTCCCACCACTTTCTCCATCCTGCCCTGAGATCTTTCTACTCTACTTTGGATTTTTTCTGATTCCTCATTATAGATTTACATACAACAAAATGTACAGATACCAAGTGTTCAGTTACATTTGTTTTGACAGTTATGTATACCCAAATAACTACCACTCAGTACAAGATCTAGAACATTTCCATCACCCTAGAAAGTTCTTTTGTGAACCCTTTTGAGTTTATAACCCAAGCACCTTTACTTATTTATTTATTTATTTATTTAAGACAGAGAAAAGGAGAAGGGGGAGGGGAGAGAATGAATGAATCCCAAGCAGGCTCCATGCCCAATGCAGGGCTTGATCCCAAGACCCTGGGATCGTGACCTGGGCCAAAATCAAGAGTAGGATGCCCAACTGACTGAATCACCCAGGCACCCCTCCTCCAAGTGTACTTTTTGATTTCTGTCATCATAGATTAGTTTTGCCTGATTCCCTTCTTTTTGTTAGTAGACTAACTTTTTTTAGAGTAGTTTTAGGGCCGCAGCAAAATTGAGAGGAAGATACAGATCTATATACTCCACAAATCCCCTGCCCCCACATCTCCTCTTTCTTGAAGAATGTTTTTTACTTTCTCCAGATTGTTTGCTTCCCTCCCTGAGCACTCCCTGCCACCCCTTTTTGCTGGACCTGTCTTTTGCTCAGGAGGTGTCCTGAGAATAAAGTATGAAGAATGCTTGGATCATCAAGAGATTAAAGTATATTCTGTTTAAGAAATCTGTGGTGTATGTGTGTGTGTGTGTGTGTGTGTGTATGTTTATATACATACATATACATATGTATGTATATATATATATTTGTATGTGCATACACATATATGATTTCCATAAAAGTGGTTAAAATTTTAAAATTGTTCTTTTCATTTTGATTTATTTTCTTTTTCTGTGATAAAGTAAGTCATTTTGGGTATATTAAAATAACTTGTAAAAATATTGTGATCACAGCAACAGAGTTCTGATATTCTTGTTTTGCTTCACAGGAAAAATGGAGGCTGCTTCCAGCATTTTTAAAGGTAATTGTGTAATATTTAATACTAGTGGTTATTTTTCAGATGAAAAAGGGCAAATTCATCTTTTTTCAAAGATTAAATGTTTATCATCAACTAATAATTTTTGACTTTGCACAACTATGTGATTTGCTATATTTTGGAAATACAAGGAATTAGACCATGACTTAACCTATGTCTAAGGCGCTAGTTGGATGAGTGGTAATCTAATTTTAGAGAAAGGCTGTAGTATATGCAGTAGCACAGTGGTGTTGGCAAAAGTGGTGATGCTCCAGGTGGTCACAGAAGGTCTCCCAATGGAGGTGAGACATAAACCACATCTCAGGAGGACAGGATTTAAGCAAGCTAAAAAGGTATAATACTGAGAGCATGCCTTGATAAAAGTGCTCAAGTGGAGCCTCCATGGCATCTGTAGGGACCAATGACCAGTCTGTTTGGCTGGAACAGATGAGTGGATAGTCACAGAGACTGCTGAATATAAGGTAGTCTAGGATCTAATTCAATTTTCAAGAGCTTATGCTAAGAAGTAAGGGGTACCACAATGATAGATCATTTGACACCCACTAGGATGGCAGTGATCAAAAAGAAAGGTAGCAAGTGTTGATGAGGATGTGGGGAACTTGGACGTTTCCTGGTGGGAATGTAAAATGTTGCAACTGCTTTGGACAACAGCCTGGCAGGTCCTTAAATGGCTAAACAGAGTTACCATGTGATCCAGCAATTTTCCTTATTTACTCAAGAGAAATGAAAACACATCTTCACACAAAAACTTGTACACAAATGTTCATAGTGGCCAAAAAATGGACACAACCCAAATGACCATCAACTGATGGATGGATAAATAATATGGTTTATCCATACGGTGGACTATTATTTGGCCGTAAGAAATCAAGTGCTGGTTTACTACAGCGTGGATGGGTGTTGAAAGCATGTTAAATGAAAGAATGGAGACTTGAAAAATGAGTAGAGTCTTATTTGACTTAGTTCTGTGTTACAGGCAGAAGGGAGAGTGCTGGGAGGGGATGCGGGGGAAGCTGTCAGGGTCGGAATTCTGACCAGGTTTGAAAGCCATGTTAAGGACTTTGGCTTTTCTTCTAACAGCAATAGGAAGCTATCTGAGAGGTTTTAAGAAGAGTGACCAAGAATGAAATAAAGTTGTAATAAGGTCAAGGGAAACCTTTTTTTAGTTACAACTCTTTTGTTTTTTTTTTTAAAGAAACTGTAAGCAGAGGAGAAAGGGTGATATTTATCATTCAAAAAAGGGGGACACAATTGGTGGCACAAGGTCCAAGAAGAGATAGAGGGTTCCATACAGACATAAGACTGGTTATTTCATTCATTCATTCATTCATCCATTTATTCAAAGTTGGGATTCTCCTTTACTCACACCACCTTGACATTTATTTGTCCAAGAATAAAGGTATGATGATTTTAGTATATAACTGGAGACAGGAACACAAAGCTTATGAGGCTGCCAGTGCTGTTGGTCAACAGAATTAAGGCTCTGTTCTTGGGCTGGGATGGCAACTGTGAAGAGGGACAAACATACTTAGTTTTGTACAAGTACCGGATTGGGTGTGTTTGACTTAATAGCATTGCTTTATGAAGATAAAAATTACCTTTTGAGTTTTAGTTGATGAGTCTGTAAGGTGGCCTTGATTTTTTTTTTTTTTAATTTTTTTTT